GTCCTTTGATATATTTCCAACAGAAATAAACTACGTATTTAGGGTATTCAGGATCTAAAGGTGGTGGAACCAAGAATAAAAGTCTACGGAATACTTTACACCTTCCAAATGAAATCTCTGAAATAACAAGGATAGTAATAACAAATTAAACATACATAATTAATGTCTAGGAAGTACCTATTCAGATTGTACCTGTTCATATATTAATGCGACTATTCGCGTGACTTATCTAGTGACTGTTCGTATGACTGAGTGCCATGACTCTTCGGGTGACTATACGCGCGAACCTACCGTTCACGTGTTGATTCGCTACTGCTAGCATCATCATGCGTGTCCTTCCATATGAGGTATCGCGCTACTTGTGCGGTCTAATTAGTATCAGGTGTCAAAACATATCTAAGTATGTCCTTGTAAACTATATAGCGTTGTGCCTTAGAGAGTACAACTCACTAGGCTATATTCCCATGTACTCATGCATTCTAGTCATTCTCTCATTCTGATATGGTATCATGAGTAGGTTAGGTCCCCCCCGCCTATGAGCGCTTCCGCCATAGGTCCTAGCCGCCCCGCCGCCCGCCCGCCTGCGCCGGCCCGTTCCCCTTAGCCGTCCCCGTCGCGTAGCCGGCCCCGTCCCGTAGCCGGCCATGTCCCGTAGCCTGCCCGTTCCCGTAGCCGGCCCGTTCCCGTAGCCAGCCCGTTCCCGTAGCCGGCTCGTTCCCGTAGCCGACCCGTTCCCTGCGCCGTCCCCGTCGCATAGACAGCCCCGTCGCCTAGCTGGCCCCGTTGCCCAGCAGGCCCCGTCGCGTAGCCGGCCACATCGCCTAGCCGGCCCCGTTGCCTCGCCGACCCCGTCGCCAAGCCGGCCCCGTTGCCGAGTCGGCCCCGTCGCGTAGCCGGCCCCGTCGCGTAGCCGGCCCCGTCACCTAGCCGGCCCCGTCGCCTCGTCGACCCGTCGCTTAGCCGGCCCCGTCCCCTCGTCGGCCCCGTCACCTAGCCGGCCCCGTCGCCTAGCCGACCCCGCCGAGTAGCCGGCCTCGTCGCCTAGCCGGCCCCGTCGCCTCGTCGGCCCCATCACCTAGCCGGCCCCTGTCGCCTAGCCAGCTCCTTGTCGCCTAGCCAGCTCCTTGTCGCCTAGCCAGCTCCTTGTCGCCTAGCCGGCCCCGTCGTCCAGCCGGCCCCGCCGCCCGGCTGGCCCTGTCGCTTAGCCGGCCCTGTCGCCTCGACGGCCCCGTTGCCTAGACGGCCCTGTCGCCTTCCAGCCGGCCTCTACGGCCTTTGCACCGCGCTGCATCGCGCTGCACCACACTGCACCGCCCTGCACCGCCCAGCACCGTGCTGCACCGCACTGCACCGCACGGCACCGTCCTGCACCGCCCCGCACCGCACTGCACTGCACTGCACCGCCGTGCACCGCACTGCACCGCCCTTCACCGCACTGCACCATTGCAGTCTACCGTACACCATTGCTTCCCGCCCAGTCCTGCCATTTTGTCGCTGCACCGACCCTGATGGCGGACTCGGTACTGCACTTTGACGCGGAGGGTCAGCCGGTCGAGTTCGACACGTGGCTTGTCGACCTCCGCCGTCATCTCACTGGTCAGCGGCAGAACGGCCACTCACTGGCCGTCCACATCGACGGTACGCTCCCCTGCCCTGACCCCCTGCTGCTCTGCCCGCTGACCCCTCGTCTGCTGACCGTGAGTCCGCTGCCACTGCTGCCCTTGCCCGTGAAGTCTAGTTGTCGCGTGACGCTGTCGCACAGTTCGCGATCAGTCATGCCTTCCCCCTGTCTGAGCGTCCCCGCTTTAGGTTGGTCAAGACTGCGCAGGAGTTCCTAGAGGTTGTTGTCGCACGCTATTCCACCCCCCCTCTGCCTCCGTCGGTCGCCTGATCCTGCCCATGCTCTTTCCTGATCTCGCGTCTTTCCCCGCTGTCACTGACTTGGCCGCCCACTTGCGCACGCTAGACGCGACTTGGCGCGCTACCTGCACTGAGGCCCGGCTTTGTGTCTTTCGGCCACCCATCTGCTCTACCCTCTACCTGCTTGCCACCCGCCTCCCTGACCACCTTGCTACCGTCCGCGATCACTTCCTTAGTCTCCACCCCGCTGACCTCACCCTCCCTGACTTTGTCGACACCCTGTCTGACAAAGAGACCCGTCAGCGCTCTATCGCCCAGTCTAGCGGTACTGTATCAGTCACTATCTTTCAAGGTTGTGCCCCCGCTCAGTGCACTTTTTCTGACGGTTCTGCTGCTGTTGCTGAGACAGCTCCTGCTGCGGCGACAGCCGCCGCGGCTGCCGCTGTGCAGTTCCGTCCGGGGAAGGGTCGCCGCCCAAGGCTGGGCGCGGCGGAGGTAGTGGAGGAGGGGGTGGAGGAGGTGGTGGAGCCGGGTCGCCTGCTGGTAGTACTGACGAGGTGGATGGGTCTGGTGCCTCCGAGCAGCAGCAGCAGGCGCCGCCGCTGGACAACCAGCAGCAGCCGCAGCATCAGCAACGGCGGGTTGGTCGGCTCCCGCCCGGGTGGCCTGGCGCTGGTGGTGGCAAAGGTTGCAGTGGTCGTGCGCGCAGCGTGACGTCGGGTGGTGGTTCGAGTAACGAGCGCTGCTAGTACCAGCTCCACATCGGTCCTCGCCGCGAGTTCGTGTACGGTAAGATCGGTCATACCCGCACCCGTTGTTTCAGTCGCCTGGACGACCTGTTTCGTCTCCGCTTCGGCCCGTCGCCCGACCTCCCCGACTGGCACATTTTGCTCCGCTGTGGTGTTCAGATATTTGATATGGACATGTACGAGACTAGTTCTGCTTTGTATGTGCTGTATGTCGATGACTCTAGTGTGACTGGTTCCTATTACCCCCTGTTGCCTAGCGTAGGTGTGCCAAGATCAGACTCCCCTGCTGCATCAAACGTAGGCTCCCCTGCTTTGTTTAGCCTTGGCTCCTCCCTCGCTTCTTCGGCACCTGCCGCCACTGCCGCGCTCTCCTTTACCCTGGACTCCGGCGCTTCCCGATGTTTCTTTCGAGACTCCACTACGCTCACGCCGCTTGACGCTCCCGCCGCTGTTTCCCTTGCAGACCCTTCCTCGGGTCCTGTAGTCGCCCGTTGCTCCACTACCCTTCCCTGTCCGGCGGTTCCTTCGAGATCACTTATAGGCCTGCACATCCCCTCGTTCTCTAGGAACCTAGTTGGTTTCGGCTGCCTCCAGGACCTTGGCGTCACCACTACGTTCCCCGGTCACGAGCGATACGCTGTCTGTACCGAGGCCGCCACTGGTGCTCCCCTCACCACGTTCCCCCAGGACCTGGTGTCTGGCCTGTTCACGCTGGACACTGCGTCCCCCCCGGTTGGGATGTCTCCCCAGGTGGCTGTGTCTACCCAGCTTACTGCGGCTTGCTCGTGTCGGTCGCTTACTCACCCGACGCTTCTGTGGCACCACCGTCTAGGTCACCATGGCCTCCCATGCCTTCGTCACATGTTTCAGCACGGTCTTGTTTTATGTTCTCCCTGAGTCGTTCCCCGCGCTCCCCTCCTCACCCGCGCCGCCGTGCACCCCCTGCATCGAGGGCCGGCTCCGCCGTGCCCCTCACTCCTCCTCGTTCCCCCCACCACTACACCGTTGCAGATCGTGCACATGGACGTATAGGGCCCTGCCCCCGTCCATGGGCCGCGTCGTGAGCGTTACTTCCTCGTCCTTGTTGACGACCACACTCGATACAACACCGTGTTTCACCTGGAGCGCAAGGCCGACGTGCTTGATGTTCTTATCCCGTGGCTTGTCTTAGCGCTTGTGCACCGAGGTCTCCCTGTGCTGCGTCTTCTCTCTGACCGTGGTGGCGAGTTCGCCTCTGGCTGCCTAGGTCGCTTCTGTCGTGCGGAGGGCATCACCCAGACGTACACCCTGCCGGACTACCTGCAGCAGAATGGGGTTGCTGAGCGACGCATCGGTTTGGTCATGGAAGTGGCACGTACCTCCATCATCCAGGCCGGTGCACCCCATTTTCTGTGGCCGTTTGCCATTCGCTACGTCGCTCACCAGCTTAACCTGTGGCCACACCCTCAGCGGCCGCAGGTTTCGCTGACCCTCCTCTGGACCGGGTCTCCTGGTGGCGCGTCTGCGTTTCGCGTCTGGGGCTGCCTTGCTCACGTTCATGCCTTTGGCACGGACAAGCTCACTGCCCGCACAGTCCCTTGTGTCTTCCTAGGTTTCCCCCTCGACTCGTCTGACTGGCACTTCTACCACCCACCGTCTCACCGTTTCTTTCACTCTCGCGACGTCACATTTGACGAGTTCTTCTCCTTCTACCACCGCTTTCCCCACCCTGGTCCCTCGGTTACTCCCCCCCTGTTCCTGGTTCCCCCTCCCCCGGTCGCCCCTGCTCCCCCCCCTCCAGACCCTGCTCCGTCTGGTGTGTCTCACGTTATTCCCCTCCCATCGGTTGTCCTTGTCGATGAGTCTGCTCACTCTAGTGGCCCTGCGACGCAGTCCTCACCGCCTGCCCTCTCCCCGGTGTCTCCTCCTCCGCCGTTGTAGTCACCGCCGCAGCACCCATCGTCGCAGCCGCCCCAGCCGCAGCCGTCATCGCAGCCGCCGCCGGAGCAGCACCAGTTTGTGCTTTGTGGAGGTGATGGCGTTCAGGAGGGTGCTAGTTGTCACAGGATCGAATGTGTCGAGGAAAGGTTGCACTATCGATCAGTACAAGGCGCTTTTATACTTCCAGAGTACATCAGGTAACCAGGTTTATCTTATCCTAAGGGAATAGACCCTTCTAGAAGATAGAATCACCCTGCGTATAGCCACGCGAGGCTATTGGCTTTAAGGGATTACGGCAGGATTACGCTGGATAATGTGCCAGTACATCCCAAGCCTGGTCGGTGATATAATTATAATAGCAGGATCAACCAAAGGATAATGGAAGAATGGAGAATAGGAAACCAAATGAGATGAGATAAAAAGAAGAAGCGAACGAGGAAGGAAATAAGAAAAGGGACAAGTGGTGTAACGGGGTCGTACTCTCACACTTCCCCCCCTCAAAGCTGGGTGGTAGAAGTAACACCCTGCTTGACAAAGTAGTCATGCAGAGGACGACGGGCGTTACCCATGTCGGTTTCAGAGACCCAGCTGTCCTCAGAAGGATCATAGCCCTTCCAACGAATAAGAAGCTCCACGGTGCCATTCCGACGTCGACGATGTGCAAGCACGGACTCGACCTCGTACTCGGGTTCGTTCTGGACGAGGACGGGCGGCGGCGGCGGTGGCTGGTGTCCCACGAAGATCGTGTTAGGATCCCGGTAGGGCTTCAGAAGCTGGACATGGAAGGCGTTGTGAATCTTCCAGGTAGCTGGCAGGCGTAAGCGGAAGGTAACAGGAGTGACCTGTGCTTCAACGAGGAAAGGCCCGCAGAAGCGAGGTCGTGTTCTTCTTCAAGTAATTTGTAGGGCGTGTTCTTCTTCAGCTCCAAGTAATTTTCTTCATTAGGGAAAACCTGTCCCATGGTCTTTAAAAACAGCGACAACTGGTCCAGTAGATGCAAACAATACTGTTGCAAATTGTTTCGTTTTGATACTGCTCCTGATCGGTGGTGATGTGCGGTGGGGTCGTGTTCAGAATGTCGGGCAAATCGGCCGAATTGATTATGGAGGCGGTAGCGGGTGGTGGCGAGACAAAGACGACGATGGCGATGGCCTGTAACCTGTTCTGAACTGCTCCAGAGAAAAACCTCGAACGGAACCCGGGGTCAAATGACGCCAGCTGCATCAGCTTCGTTGTCCGTACACGCCGAAAATTCCGGGGAGAGACGAAACAGCTACTGCACTTCTCCTCCTCCAGGTACTCAAAATATTCAGAGAATATCGGTCGATGTCGCTCGTACCCCTGAAGATAGCGGGCACAACTCCAGCTGTAAAACGTTGAACTGCTCCAGCGAAAATGTCGGAACGACTCGGCACTTAGCAAATATCGGAATTCCGCTTCACGACTACCCGTAAAAACACTCAGGCGTCACGTCGTCCGTTAGCAACGCCCCCACGGTTGCTCCACTAGCTGTACGCATGAACTGGACCCTTTATATTAGGGTTTACCGGAGTCCACCGCCTCGGCATGATGTTTTGGCTGTCGACCGTCTCGTCAATAATACAGGGGGTATGCTCTATGCTCCAAATCTGCGACTCGCAGATATCGACTAAGTCGAATAGGGCCCGTACGGTAGGGGAAAAATGGACTAACGAGTGAACATGGGGGTCGGAGTGACTTGTCTGTTATGTTCTGTTCATAGAAGGGTGCCCTGTCCGATGCTGCGACAATTTGAGTTACGTAGAGACACGTCGGGTTTCAAACCCCGTTGCATTAAAAAGATTCGAACACACACAATAAAGTGTCCAACAACACTGAAACACTCAAACCCACGCACAAAAGCAAGAAACGACACATCATCATTCACACAAGGAGTGGCGTGGCAACACAACCGAGCAACAACAAAACTGTCAAGCGCACAACTAAACTAACAGAAGGATAATCAAATACGCCCGGCCCAGCAAAAGTAAACACACTCCTGAAAGCAAACGCAACTGAAAAACACACACGTCGGAAAGGAATCCAGTGCTCTCTCAGCGCATCCACTCAGCCGATTCCACCCAGCCGTCCATGACGGCCGTCGCCTGGAGCACATGCTGCGTGTACTCTTCCGAAACAACCCCAGGAGCAGAGTTCAGGTCCAGGCGTGGGGAAGCGCGTTCAAGACGCTCAATCACAGACGGGTCCCGAATGTCGAAGAGAATGCGGAGGTCCCTCGGGATGAGCCCGATGGACCGCGCATAACCGACCAGCATCTCTGTAGCCATGCGGCTAAGATGCCGGCGATTACGCGAATCTCGAACTGGCTGCGCAATATCCGGTGCACGGAGATACCATGCGCCGCTTGCGGGAATTCCCAGAGGTTCCAAAGCGAGGGGGTCCTCGCCACAAGGATCGCATATGTCATCGTCGCTGTCGCATGTGACGAACTGGACCACATCCATGCGGTCCTCGTCGGCCCATGGCAACCGTTCCAAATTCGCAGCGACTGCAGTCAACTCTGAAGGCAAATTATGGTCCTGCTCAGCGACGGTGGTACCGACCAGGGGGAGTCTCGCGAGCCAGCTAGCAGGGAGGATACCCGTCCACCACCAACACTTCTGGACGATCTCGGGCTCGATCGAGAACCACACGTCCGACAGCCATGTTATGACCTGCACCATGTCGGGCTTGTATTGCAGCAACATTCCCTCGCTCTGAAATTCGTCCCATTCGCGGAACATGTCGAGTGTATGGTACGTCCTGTACCGAGCCTTGAGTGTCGCGATGAGCCCCTGGTCCAGCGGTTGCGTGAAGCAGGTAGTGTTTGGCGGTAGAAACACAAGACGCACATTGCTCAGCGCGCGTGTTCGGAAGCCGAGGATGTCAGCCGATGTGGCGAGCGGTGACAGGAGGTTGTGGCAGCTAGCGTTGTCCAGTAGGATGACGATGCTGCGGCCCTCGGCGAAACAGCACGCGTTAATGTGCTCGATGTATTCCGTGAATAACTGCGGCGGGAAAGTAATGAAATGTTTGAATTCGTAGTTACAACATATGGAAAAAAGCGGGCAACACAAGCAACAGCAACATTGACACAGTCGCAAATAACACGCATTACGTTAAAAATGACGCTTACCTGGCTTGTCATCCAGCCAGAACCGTTGCTGCGCCAAAAGCACTTCGTCGTAGGACTGAATTTCTTCTGTGCGAAGCAGCGTGGATTGGCGGTTTTGCTCACAACAAGCGGCTTGTACATCTGCGAGCCGTCGGCGTTGCACATCAGCGCGATAGTTAAGCGGTCCTTCCGGTTTTTGCCGCCACTCACAGGCCCATCTGTGAATGTCATTTTCGGAATTTGTTTCCAAGCGCATCCAGTCTCGTCGTAGTTGAAGCAGTCGCGAGGCGCGACGGCGAGCAGAGTGAGCAACTGCGGGCATGTGGCCTTCGTCGTCATCACTGCGCCGAAGTCCTGGTCGTTAGCTTTGCCCTGCCTGGTCCGCCACTTGTATCCCATCCGCTTCAATGCTTTCTGCACCCATCCGACGCTCGCTTTAAATCCAACCGGCACTCCGGCGTCAGGAGCCATAATCCTAGCTCGTTGCTGGATGACGCTGATGGTGATTGGCAGCCCACCCTTTGCCGCCCGGCCCAACCATGTCTTCAGCCGCTGCTCAAGCAGGGGATAGAAGGCGGAACGCAGACGTCGAGTGGCGGAGCTCTCCGGCCCAAGTGCCTTCCACTTGTCCGCCTCCTTGAGGATTTTCCCCACGGTGCTGGGGTCGGGATAAATACCGTATCTCGTGAAACACCACCGAGCGATGTCGGCGAGTCGAAGGTGTGAATGTGCTTCAGCATGTCGGCAGATTCCGATCTTCATCGCAATCGTCAGCGATGTTCTCCTGAGTAACCTCATTGTGACCAGTTGATTGAGCCAGGTAACGTAGTTTGGTGGCTGTTTAGCCGCTGATGTGGCGGAGTATAAATACGACCTCTGTCGGCCTCCTCAACCGAGGGGGTACGTAGGCATGCTCATGCCAGCGCGCATGCAAAATTGCCAGCTGGACGGGGGTACTAGCGGCCTGTATGTGATTCTGTGTATGCTTCCCAGGTCCGTCGCGATTACGTAGCATCGCCATGGCGCGCGCGTATTGGCTAGGCAATTCCGAACGCAATTCACGGGGATTTCACGAGAACGCACTTGCGGGTTGGTTGGCGACGCTCGCACGATAAAATCGCACCCAATTCGGGAGGCGCGGTTCGCTGGTCGGTGACACTATGCGACTGCGGTGACTGGTCAATATTTTTATTGCGCTTTTTTAGCGAAGTCAACAGTACATGTATACCGTACAGACGGAGTACATCGTGGTGGATCTTATCAAATTCCGGACCTTGGAGTATTATATGGAGTACAATGTCATGGACCTAATGGCATACCCGCTGTAGTGGGGCCGAGAGTAGCGTAGTGAGTCGATGCCACATCCAACCCCCCTGCTTCGTTACAACCAATTTCGAGGCTGGAATTGCGGAGAGCATCCGCCGCCATCTGTGGCGAGCGACGGCTCGAGCGAATGGCGCCAAATGATTGCGTAGCTGGCGACGATTATTCAACTCTCCAGCGGGCCCCTGAAACTCCGATGGCCAAACTGTCGGCGCGCTCCATCGCCATCGGCATCGGCAGGAGCACGAGTCGTCGACGAGTTTTCTGCTAGTACTCCGTCGGTGCATCGACGACCATCAACGACACCGATGGTGCGCTCAAACTTCATCCCTCGCTGCCTTGGTATCTCTCCCCTTTTTGGGATGTACCTACCCCACCGCTCCTGCTGCTCCTGCTGCTCCTATTGCTCCTGCTGCTCCTGCTGCTCCTGCTGCTCCTGCTGCTCCTACTGCTCCTGCTGCTCCTGCTGCTCCTACTACTCCTGCTGCTCCCGCCTCTGCCGCCTCTCCCCTCTCTCCTCCCTCCCAACGCACGGTCCAGCTTCTCGCTTTCCGCGTCGACTGCGCCGCTCCATGCTGCAACTGCATGTCGCGCTGATCAGGGGAGCCCATGATCAACGAGCATCGTGTCGCGTGTTTTCGTATGACGTTGCATGGTGTCGCATGGTGTCGCATGGTGTTGCATGGTATCGCATGGTGTCGCATGGTGTCGCATGGTATCGCATGGTGTCGCATGGTGTTGCATGGTGTCGCATGTAGACATGATCAAAACGCGATTGCGATTTAAATCGCATCGCATGTAGGTGCGATGATAAAAAAGCGATGCGATTTTAAATCGCATCGCGCGATTTATTTTTCAAAAAAAAAAAAAAAAATCGCACATTGCATTTTACCCGCGATGTATTAAAAAATCGCATGCAATGTTTAATTAAATCGCGTAATGCGATTTTAAATCGCATCGCGTTTTAAAACAGAATTAAAAAAACACCCCAAAAAAACAGGAAAAAACCATGGCTGCGGGGAAATTGACTCACGGGCAGTCGTACGCTAGAGTGCAAATAACCAGTGTGGTTTTGTAGTGGGTTTCAGAGTGGGTTTCAGTGCAATATCGCGCACGATTTTTTAAAAATCGCATATCGCACTTAAATCGCATATTTAAAGCGCGATTAAAATGCGATTAAAATTAAATCGCGCGATAGTAATTCATGGCATCGCGCGATGATAAAAAAAAAAAACCATCGCCATCGCAAAAATGCGATTAAATGCGATGCGATGCGATTTTTTTTGCCCATGTCTAGTCGCATGGCATCGCATGTTGATCGCATGTACGGTGCTGAAGGAGTGCCAGGCAGCGTGGGGAGTGACGCTGGAGGGGTGGAAGGCAGGCAGCAACTGCTCGCTGTCCGGCCAAATGCTCGACTGCAACGCCCTGGGCAGAACCACCAGCCTGTGAGTCGCCCAGGCAGAATCACCAGCTTGTGAGTCGCCCAGGCAGAATCACCAGCTTGTGAGTCGCCCAGGCAGAATCACCAGCTTGTGAGTCGCCCAGGCAGAATCACCAGCTTGTGAGTCGCCCAGGCAGAATCACCAGCTTGTGAGTTGCTCAGGCAGAATCACCAGCTTGTGAGTCGCCCAGGCAGAATCACCAGCTTGTGAGTCGCCCAAGCAGAATCACCAGCTTGTGAGTCGCCCACGCAGAATCACCAGCCTGTGAGTCGCGTGTGTGTGAGCAACAGCGTGCCTGCAGTTGGCTACTCGTCTTGTTGCCCACATGGCCTCTTCTTTTCGCAGCTCGTCTGCTCCTCAACTCAACCGCCCCTCGCTATTCACGACCGCCCCTGCCTATTCACAACATGCTGCTGGCGACCACCTCACTTGGTGATTCCCTCCGCTGATTCCCTCATCTCATTCACCCATACTTAGGGTTTAGGGCGCTGAGCTGGTGCTGGGCTTCATTCATCCCTCCATTCACTCACTCACCACCTCAACTCCATTTTGACTCACCACCCTTCTCCCCCACCTCCCCTCGCCCCCACTTCTATCTTCCATGGATTCTCCGGTGCAGCAACGACTTTTGACACGCCTCAAACACCCCCCCCGCCCGCCCCTCCCCCGCACTTG